GCTATTCAGCACTCCCTATTTCGGGTTCTTTCTTCTGCCCGTCTAAGTAGCCGGTAGGATCCCGGGATGTGATAAAGAGCATGGCTGAAACAGACCATTCCCTAAAGTTGTATTCGTCTAGCAACACATTTGTTATTTGTAGGTTGTGCAGATTTGGGTTCTCCAGACCGGAGGGTCCGTATCAGGACTGAAATACCAAGTTCCACTCTGCTGTACTGCTCTAACTACTGCTGTTGCAAGCTGCCACCAAACTGCTGAAGCACCGAACTGAAACCCTTCTGCTGTGTTTAGCCACTGTTGCCACAACCTGGACCTTGCTGTTGTGGCTTCTACCACGCGCTAACCACTGCTATCGCAGGCTGAACCCTCACCCACGAACTGTTCTAGGACTGCTGAGATCAGTCCTCTCTTTCAGATCTGTTCTACACAGATCTCACTTAGCCGAATGGCTACAACTTGCTGTGTGTGTCTCTTAGGGCATCAGCTACTGGGACTAACTCCCCTTGGGCCCTACAACCAAGGGAAACCCTAGATATAGGTTCTGCTGGGTTCTACGACCAGACCTAGGGTTTCTTTGCAGTACCAAGATAGAGAGAAAGGTGAGAGAGAGAGAGAGGTGCGAGGCAGTTGCTATAACCAGGCGAGTTTTAGTGCTCTGATACCATGTTTGCCGAACTAAACCTGTCAAGTGAGCAGAGAAGAAGAAGAGGAAGAAGAAGAGGAAGAGAAGAGGAGAAAGGAAGAAATGTTCGAATGGGCTTCTATTTTGTGGGAATGCAGGGTATCACTTCGCTATATATGAGGGAACCCCTTCTTCAATTATAAATAGAAAGAGAGGTTTCTCCCATGTCGTGTAAAAATTCTCATTGGGAAGATAAGATAAATATTTGTTCTCTTATGAAGATGAAGAATTTTTTTTTCATATAATCTCATAGAAAAAAATTTCTATTACACTGTTCATCAGCCGACCCTGCCCACTTATATAATAACAGTACATAAAGTTACATAAAAGGACCAGGATGCCCCTAATTAGTGATGGGACACCCAGTCAAATAAGACACTAAATAAAAATAGGTCCAGTAACTAAGGCCCATTAACTAAAGACTTAATACCCAACCTAGACAAGAGGATAACAAAATATCAGCCGAACCAACAAGCGAACCAAGGAGGAAGTACAAAAAATTATCCAAGATTTTTAGCGGATGGTCTTCACTCAATTTCAAACTGAAATCCAAATTTTTCAGTCAGATAATGCAAAAGAGTATTTTCATAGTAATCTCACGGAATTCTTTGCTTCGCGTGGTTCACTTCACCGTAGCTCTTGTGCCCGAACACCACAACAAAATGGTGTTGCTGAACGAAAGAACCGCCATCTCCTTGAAGTGGCCCGGGGTTTATTACTCCATATGAATGTCCCCAAACGTTTTTGGCTTGAGGCTGTCCTTTTTGTTCTACCTACCTCATTAACCGTATGTCCTCTTGTTGGTTAGAGTGCAAAGCCCCACATCAGCTTCTCTTCCCTAAGGCCCCCCTTCTTCCCATTCCTCCTCACGTATTTGGTTGTCGGTGTTTGTCCAAAATCTGTCTCCCACTCGTGGGAAATTGGATTCTCGTGCTATTCCTTGCATATTCCTGGGGTACTCCTTCACTCAAAAGGGATACCGTTGTTTTGATCATGTTTCTCGGAAATTCTATGTTTTCATGGATGTCTATTTGAGAATGAGCCTTTTTTCCCTGTTTCTCCTCAGGGGGAGTGTGGGAATGAGGAGAAACTAGTTCAGCTCCCTCCTCTTTCTGATCCTCCACCTTTTCGTGTCTTCTTCCGTCATCGCAAAGGCCAACCAAATTCAAGAGCTGTGGAGAATCTAGAAGTTGTACCTCCAGTGCCATCAAACTCCTCGGGGGCGGATCATACTCACTCAGGTAC